GAGAGCAGAATAGAAAGCCAGCTATCAGCAGCAAAGCCCACTGGTGGACTACCAGAGACTGCTCGGGAGCAGCTGCAGGCTCACATGGTGAGGACGCTATGTGTAGGGTAAACACAAAACTCAGTGGTCATTGTATTAAGTGCATTTATTTAGTAGGAGTAGCACCCCTTTTTTCATTCAGAACAGCTAAAATACTTTTGTGGTTATAAGAAGGTGCTGCAAACCCCTTAGAAAGGAGTTTAGTATTCATTGTTCTTAGCGTTGGAACGTGCTAGTGTTTTTGGCTGCTGTACCCATTCTTCATGTTATGTATTTGAAGATTTCCCCTCTGAACCCAACTGTTGTAAAGATTTTTTTTTACCACTTCCTATGCATAGACCCCATATAAGTGGCATGGGCTTCAAGTGGTTAAAGCGGTAGTAAACTGCCAAAAAAAAAAATATTTGCAAAAAAATGTCCCCTGCAAAATAATAATAGCATTATTTGCTAGTATGCACCACATACTAGCTCATTATGAAAGACTTCCCTTAGAAAGAAGCCTTCCAGCGGTGCACTGTCATCGCTGACAGGGCTTCCATCTTCCTCCAGTCTTCCGTCCAGGTTCGCAGGCTCTGGCCGTGGCACAGAACTCTGAAGGAACAGCGCAAGAATGCCGTTCCTTCAGAGCACATGCATTGGTGACGTCATCGGCTGCAGAGATGCTAAATATCTCCTAAACGGTGCAAGTTTAGGAAATATTCCCTGTACAAGCATTTCATCGCTGCTGGTTTCAAAGCTGTAATTCATCTGATGCTCTAACCAGGAAAGCAGTAATCAAGCACAATCCAAAACATGATCTGTGAATGGGGGAGTGTGTGATCAGTCACAGGATTCTGTTACCTATTTACAGATCATGTTACAGGCAGTGTAATCTGTAAACAAAATGGAGAAATAGATAGGAGGCATGCTAGGGGAAGCCGTTAACCCCCCACAATGCTAAAAAGTCAGCAGCAGGAAGAGAACAGATCATCCCTGCAGCTAAGGTTGCTTCAGAATCCAGCAGCCTGCATAACGTTGGACATGTTTCATTACAGATAAGTTATGTACTTAAAGCTGCAGAGAAAAAAAGTTTAACTAAACTTTTACAAGGCTTTTCTACAGGATGGTTACCACTGGGGTAGCTGCATTTTGCTTCTTAGACATGCTTACCCTGTTTCCGCACTCTATTCTGTGAAAAAAAAAAACCCACAGGGGATTGCCCTCACCCACACCCATATCACAGTGGAAACATTCGCTCTGCCGAAACCCTACACAATACTCAATCTCATAGTGTGGATGCTTCCCTTGCACTGGAGCAGGACTTTACCACCGGTCTCTGCATCCGATGCTAGCTCTATCTCAGGTTCGCAACAAGTGGCTTATTTTCTAGAACTGTGTCACTCAGTCTAACCATACAATCTTGGTTCAATCAACCTCCGATCCACCATAACAAGGCATTATGAGGATCCACCCCATCAATTAATTAGGCAGGCAGGAGCTCACATCACACAGCTGCCAGCATATCCAAAGACGACTGTACAATATTACGTAGTGCATGGTCAACCTTAATCCTTAGTGCAAATACCCAAATAAAATTATAAATATATACAAAAAAATCACCAGCAGGCCAAAAGAAAAAAAAAAAATTCCTCCATCACACAAATGAAAACCGCCGCTGTCAGAATTCACTGATCCACTGCTGCAGCTGAATGGCTGCAACCACTGATCAACAAAAGTTTCCCACGTCCTTTCAACAGAATTATGAATATTTATTCTGTGTCTTTTACTGTACTTCAAGTCATGGAAATTACAGGTTAGTCAAAGATCCCTTATTTAGCCAAACTTCAGCTTTTAATGCTTTGTCTGTAGACAGTTCTGGGCATGTGCAAATTTAAAGCTTGATATTTTTTTTATATTTGTAAAATGTGTATTCTGTTGTGTTAGTGTGCACCCAAATACATGAAAATATGTGCTCAATAAACAGTTTAGAAAACAATGTGCAACTATTGTATTCTATGGGGTTTAAAAAAAAAAAAAAAAATGCCCTGGACATTAAGTGGTTAAACAGTTATGCTTATAAATAGTTTATAGTGTTTGAAAATCCCATAAAAGCCCTGCAAAATGTATTGATCCTTTTATTGTACGATATATATATACCTCAATTTTGATCATCCATTAAAATGTTTTGGCTATGTAAAAGTATTGTTTTATTACCTAGCATGCACCTTATTCAAGGTTTTGACAAGTGTGTATTTATTTGCATATATGTTCACCTCTTTAAAAATGTTGTAGTGCTTTACTACTTTTTTCTTTTTTGCCCTATTTGGTTTTGCATTCTGATTTACTCTTTTCATATGTTGAGAAATTACTTTGTTTACTATATGCGCGACTCACATTCTAATTGATAGTTTATTAAATATTTTCTCTTAGGAGTTATATGCTGAGGTCAAAGCCAATGAGGAACTATATAAACAACTTTTAGACAAGGGGCAACTAATGCTGCTTAGCCGGGAAGATGCAGCCAGTTCTGTCACCGATCAGAGTGTGAACATATTGAAGAGAAAGTGGCAAAACATTAACAATAAGGTCGAAGAGAGGAAGGTAATGCATGACCTTGCATAACCTCACGTGGACAGTTTTCAGAACCGAAATGTATTGAATGTCTAATAATGGTGGCTTTGGTCTTGTAGCTTCCGTCTGCATGTGTTACATCTTGTCACTTTTTACCCACAGGGAAAACTAGAAGAAGCTCTTAGTTTGGCCACTGATTTCCAGAATTCATTACAAGACTTTATCAACTGGCTGACACAAGCTGAGCAAAGCCTGAATGTAGCACCACCCCCAAGTCTCATTCTGGACACTGTTCTTTTCCAAATTGATGAACATAAGGTAGGTTCCTTAAAGCCCATCTCTCGGATAAAACTATCCAAATTTCCACCCATCCCCTCAACCCCCCTTTTAACATTGCTTTCAGTATCCCCATCTCCAGAATAAAACTATCCCCTTTCCAACCCCCCCTCTGACCAATCGCTGACCGTAAAGCAAAAAAATAAACCCTATCAAAATTTGCTTACCAAAATCCATGGTCACGTGATCCTCCTGCCCCAAGTATTCTCTTTTTGTTTACATCAGGTGTGGTCCTTCTTTAGGTGTCCATGTCACCATGACGTGGACACTTCTTACTGACTCCATACATGAGGGTTTTTTCAGGATCCAGAAGTGGGGTGATATTATTGCAAGAAGACCATAGGGAGGGACCATCTGTAGCAATATATTAGTTGTCCCCACACCAAGAAATGGTCATGGTGAGGAACCTGGATGGGGAACTTTAGGAGAGTATAACTTGTTTTAAAGGTATTCTGCTTCCTCAGGAAGCAGAATAAACAGGAGTATGGGAATTATTAGAGAATCAAAATCACACATCCATGTAGGTTGAAGTGGATAGCCCTGTGTCTTTTTGTAAACCTTATAAACTATGAATTTAAGTAAAATATAAAAAAAGTAACCCTGCGTGTAGTGTAAAAAAGTGTACTGAAATAAAAATAGTGACTGCATCACCTAAAAAAACCAATCTGGATACAAAACGTGTTCATATGCAGTTAAACAGATTAAGCTGCACTGCCCCCTTTAAGAGTACATTTGTAACTTGGCAAAGTGATCAATACATAAGTTATGTAATCCAAAACAAACAAGGGAGAATAAATAAACAATGAAATAAGGAAAGTGCCAAATGTAAGAGTCTCAAAAGAGACAATAATATCTTGGAGATCTGAAACCAACTGAGTGCTGTGAAAAAGACAAAGGTGCTACAATCACCAGCATCAATCAGTCTGAGCGTATTAATCCAGCAATGGCTCCTAGATAATGCACGCAACAGGTGTAGTAAACATAAAGATGAACCTCTATCCTCTGAAGACAATTTGCAGAGAAACACATCAGGCAGAGCCGGACACATGACATCATCACGCATACCAATGAGCACCCTAGCGTGCATACTGTATACGATATGCAGACATGATTTATGGCCACTGTAAGTGCAATTTTTAAAAAACTGAAGCGGTTTTTATTCCACTGCTCTCAGAGACTCCTCTGTTGGTTTCAGTTGTCACACCAAGATATTATTGTCTCTTTTGGAATTCTTACATATGTCACCTTTGTTTGTTTTGTCTTATGTATATTATGTATTGATCACTTTGATGGGTGTCACATTTTTTCTTAAAGGGGCAGTGCACCTTAATTCAGCTATAAATGCAGCTATATGTAGGGAAAAATTACCTTGCAGGATGGGTTTGAGGGGTGGAGGAGGAATGAAAATGGGGTCACATTTTGCTTAGAAGGTACTTTAATTAACGTCTCTCAGTCACTTTGCTTGGTTAGTTAGACATTGCTACAACTGTCATTCTTTACCTATGTCATTACAGATTTTTGTAAATGAAGTTAATGTTCATCGAGAGCAAATTATTGAGTTGGACAAAACTGGGAACCAGCTGAAATTTCTCAGCCAAAAGCAGGATGTGGTCCTGATTAAGAACTTACTGCTCAGTGTTCAGTCCCGCTGGGAAAAAGTGGTTCAACGATCAGTGGACAGAGGAAGATCCTTAGATGATGCAAGAAAGAGAGCAAAACAGGTTTGAATTTTGAAAAATACATTTAGACAGTTGTATTGTTTTTGTCTTCTATATAGAAAAGGTATAAATGTATAATACTGTTGTATGTTATACTGTTACAGCTGTTACATGAGCCATGTCTTGAGTACATTGTGTAAACCACAGCTGATAATAGGAAAGTCCTGGCGACCCCTATTCTGTCACCGAGTTAAAATATAATTTGCTTTTGTGTTTCTTGTTGTTGATATGGCCCTGTTTCATATGTTCCAGTTCCATGAAGCCTGGAAGAAACTGGTTGACTGGTTGGAAGAGGCAGAGAATCACCTAGACTCTGACATGGACATTTCTAATGATCCAGACAAAATCAAGCTACAGCTTACCAAGCACAAAGTAAAATGATGTCTTGTGTGTTGTAAATGTTTTGGGTCTTTTGTATGTATGTGTGTGTGTATATATGTATATATATATTTTTTTTTTATTTCTTTTTGTCTGACATTCACAAAAGTGAACATGAGGCACAGTTTCCACCCAATGATTTAATGAACATCTCCCTTTCTTGCTTTGACACCATAGGAATTCCAGAAAACCTTAGGAAGTAAACAGCCTGTTTATGACACAACTGTAAGGACAGGACGGGCATTGAAAGAAAAGGCCTCGTTAAGCGACGATGTACAGAAATTAGATCACCTCCTTGGAGAAGTGAGGGATAAATGGGACACTGTGTGTGGAAAATCTGTGGAAAGGTAATTTTCACTGATGCTGAAATTAGCAAAGATTACATGCAAATTTAATTAGTGCTTGATAGAAATTATCATGACCATTATATGCCAAGTATTTTTTTGGGAGTTATGTGTGTTTGTACAACAGCATTCTTGAGGTAACAGTTTTCCCTGGGTTTTCTTTGCAGACAGCATAAGTTGGAGGAAGCATTGCTTTTCTCTGGACAGTTTATGGATGCCCTGCAGGCCCTTGTGGATTGGCTTTATAAGGTGGAGCCCCAGATGGCTGAAGATCAACCTGTACATGGAGACTTGGATCTTGTAATGAACCTGATGGATGCTCATAAAGTAAGAATTTGAAGGCTAAAGTGTAATATTAATTTGTCCATACCCCTAGACATTTATACTTACTGAGCCCACGCAACTACGCTGCCTCCTTGATTCCCTCATTTTAGTGTTTAAGCAAGCACATGACCTCCAGTCAGCCAATCACCAGGCCCAAACAGCGTCACAATTGGCAGAACATGAATGACTTCATCTACCTATATAGGCTCCAACACAAGCCAATTTTAGAGCTTAGCCAGAGTGAGATAACGCAATAAAGAGGCAGCGAGGGGGTGTGGCTGGGTAACTACAACCTCAATTCCAAAGAAGTTGAGATGCTGTGTAAAACCTACATAAAAACAGAATGCAATGATTTGCAAATCTCATAAACCCATATTTTATTCCCAATAAAAAAGCTATCAAATGTTTAAACTGAGAAATTGTACCATTTTAAGAAAAAAAATAAGGTAATTTGGAAATTGATGGCAGCACAGCATCTCAAAAAAAGTGGGACTGAGCCATGGTGTAGCATCCCCTCTTCTGTTAACATCACTCTGTAAAAGTCTGGGAAGCAGTTGCTGGAGTTTTGCGGAGAGGAATGTTCTCCTATTCTTGCCCAATATAGGATTCTAACTTTTTAACAGTCCTTGGTCATCCTTTTCTGTGTTCTTAATTTCAAACGCACCAAATATTTTCAATTTGTGAAAGGTCTTGACTGTAGGCAGACCAGTTAAGCACCCAGATTCTACTACGAAGCCATGCTGTGGTCATAGATGCAGTTTAGCATTGTCCTGCTGGAATATGCAAGGCCTTCACTGAAAGAGACATCGTCTGGAGGGAGCAATATGCTGCTCTAAACTTGGATATATCTTTCTGCATTGATGGTGCCTTTCCAGATGTGCAAGCTGCCCATTCCATATGCAGTAATGCACCCCCATACCATCAGAGATGCAGACGTTTGATCTGAGCACTAATAACAAGCTGGAAGGTCCTTCTCCTCTTTAGTCCAGAGGATGCGGCACCCATGGTTGCCAGAAAGCATATTACATTTCGATTCATCTGACCACCCAGCTACTCTTACAAATTCAGTGCCATTTCACATATATGCAGATTTGAATGTGGTTGGAACCGCATTCAATCCACATGACGTGAAATAACATTGCTTCCTATGGTGCCTGTGCACAGGATTTCAGTTCAGGATCAGGATTCAGCACAGTTTGATCTCCTCTCCCCCTCCTTTCCACCTCATGAAAACCAGAAAAGGCTTGCAAAACCACATGCAAACTGTCCCTGAACCTGTGCACAATACAATCCGCAGCTATGTCACAAAAACCAGTCCTGAACCGCTGAACAAGTAGATTGCGATTAGCACTGAAACCGTACCTTGAAATCCAGAACCCATGTGTGAATCTGCAGTTAAGCTTTGGCCCAGAAAAGGCAGCAGTATTTGTGGATCATGTTCAGATTTGGCTCTTTCTTTGCATGATGGTGCGTTACCCTGTATTTTTGGATGGCACAGCAAAATGTGTGAACAGACAGTGATTTTTGGAAGTATTCCTAAACCCATGCAGTGATGTTCATCACAGAATCATGCCTGTTTTTATTACAGTGCTGTCTGAGGGCCCAAAGATCATAGGCATCCAATATTGCGTTATCCCTTGCACACAGAGCTTTCTCCAGATTCTCAGTATCTTTGATATTATGTACTGTAGATGGTGATAGTTTTCCAAGTCTTTTCAATTTTATGTTGAGGAACATTATTCTGAAATTGACAGATTTTAGACACAGCTTTTCACAGATTGGTGAACCTCTGCCCAACTTTACTTCTGAGACATTCTGACTCTCTAAAATGCTATTTTTATACCTGATCATGTTACAGTACTAACCTGTTGCCAAATAACCTAATTAGTTGCAAAATATTCTTCCAGTTATTCCTTGTTAGTACCAACTATGTTGCCAGATGCTTCTTTAGCTGTATGGTTGTGTAATCCATTTAGAAGTTACTAAAATATGACTTTTCTCCATGCATCACATATGTATATATACATGTAAAAAAAAGAATACTTCATACCTTCCTGCTATACTGATTTATCGTTCGTTTTTTTTTTTTTTTTTTTAATAGGTTTTCCAGAAGGAGCTAGGGAAAAGAACAAGCAGTGTTCAAGCTCTGAAGCGATCTGCAAGGGAACTGCTGGAGAGCAGTAGAGAAGACACTACCTGGGTCAAGGTTCAGCTCCAGGAACTCAGCACAAGATGGGACACTGTATGCAAACTTTCTGTGTCCAAACAAACCCGCTTGGAGCAAGCTCTGAAGCAGGTCAGTGACTTCAAATTAAATAACATTTACACACACCAGTAACAGCTTAGAAAATAATGAGAAGAATGAATTCTGTTTTAGGCTGAGGAGTTCCGTAGTACTGTTCACATGCTGCTTGAGTGGCTTTCAGAGGCTGAACAGACGTTACGTTTTCGTGGTGCTCTTCCTGATGATGCAGAGGCTTTGCAGTCCCTCATTGATGTTCACAAGGTCAGAAAACCGTGAACGTTCTATATACTAGATCAAACTGATCAGATTTGGCCCAGTTTTATGTCTTACCTGCTAGGACATTTCACATTTTACTCTAATTTTCCAACTCATTTTGTCATATTTTTTATTAAGGAGTTCATGAAGAAAGTAGAAGAGAAACAGGTAGATGTAAACACTGCAGTTAGCATGGGGGAGGCAATACTGACAGTGTGTCACCCAGACTGTATCACCACTGTCAAGCACTGGATTACTATCATACGGGCAAGATTTGAGGAGGTAAGCCATCTTTTGCTTTTTAACAATCATAGAATCTATAAATTAGAAACAGTTTTCTGCTAAATATAATCTGTTAGATTCAGCCTTTTCACCTGCATTTGTCACATACTATTAGATAAAATTTTGCAGCTAAATTATTTTATATTCTCATTTTACAGTTTAAAGGCATCTTTTGAATGCCAAAGGGGTATTACACTACTTATTTCCGTGCTTTGTTTAAAGGTACTAACTTGGGGGAACCAGCACCAACAGAGGCTGCAGGCAGCACTCTCAGAGCTTTTGGCCAATTCTGACCTGCTTGATGAATTGTTAGCCTGGATCCAATGGGCTGAGACTACTCTGATACAGCGAGATCAAGAGCCTATGCCTCAAAATATTGACCAGGTCAAGGCTCTAATTTCAGAACACCAGGTAAGGGCACTGGTGATGTGCTCATAACTCATCTGAGTTTATGGAATGACATTTATATTGTGCCAGAATGTATCAACTAGTGGATAATACTAGCTAAACTTATGTCCGCTTGATAGCCCATAGCTTCTAAGGTTATGAATAACCTGTTCAGTAAAATAGGTATTTTCGTACCATTAGTTGTGACTTTGACTATTGTTTCTTATGCTTTTCATTGACAGGTATTTATGGAGGAAATGACTCAGAAGCAGCCAGATGTAGATCGAGTCACAAAGACATACAAAAGAAAGACAACAGATCCGAACCATGCGTCATTCAATGATAAAACACGAAGCAGTGAGTATGCATTGCAGATTCTAAACACATCTTGTACTGGTATTTTAATCCTTAATAGGAAATAATGTTATGGTGTAGAATGGCTACAGGGCACAAATGTTTAGTATTTGTCTACAACCAAGCCCTAGTTCTGAGGAAAACTGACACATAACACCAAATATGTTTACATGATGTAAAAATATATCTTCATGTGTTTAATAGGATAGCATTTGCATAGCCATACAGCACCTTGTAGTTTAATGATTGTTATTTTACCATTCATTTCAGTTTCAAAAGCTTGCTTTTGTTGTATGTGCTTATATAATTTGGTATATTTTAACAGTTGTCGACTTAACTTTCATTCCAGGAAAACCTCCAGTGCAATCCACTCCACCTGTACTAGCTCTCCTGTCTCAATCTGAGACCAAGAATCCAAGGATCAATCAGTTGTCTGCACGATGGCAACAGGTTTGGCTGCTGGCCTTGGACAGACAGCGAAAGCTTAACGATGCTTTGGACAGACTGGAGGAGGTAGGAGATATTTTGGGCACAGAATTTAAATTTTCTTATGTCTACCAGAAAATAGTAACCAAATGGAAATGATGTACCATCTAACAACTTATTGTTGAACTGTGTTCTTTTATTAGTTAAAGGAATTTGCCAACTTTGATTTTGACATCTGGAGAAAGAAGTACATGCGTTGGATGAATCATAAAAAATCTCGAGTTATGGATTTCTTCCGAAGAATCGATAAGGACCAAGATGGGAAGATTACTAGACAAGAATTTATTGATGGGATATTAGCTTCCAGTAGGTAGTCAAGCATTAAGAAATGCTGTAAAATGATCCTAAAGGGGTAAAACGTCTTCAGAAATGTATTTCAGGATTATGTTTGCTTTGATAATTCTAAGTGTGCTATGTCTTTCACAGAATTTCCAACCACAAAACTTGAAATGACAGCTGTAGCAGATATCTTTGACCGGGATGGAGATGGATACATAGATTATTATGAGTTTGTAGCTGCCCTTCATCCCAACAAAGATGCCTACCGGCCAACTACTGATGCAGATAAGATTGAGGATGAGGTAATTCGGCAATTTATCTTACGATCAGGGGCGGACTGACCATTCGAACACTCAGGCACTGCCAGAGGGCCCAGGGTCAGTAGGGGGCCCCACGAGATGCTCCTGGTACCTTTCATTGGCTTTTTCATAGGCTTTTTTGGGTGTGGGCGAGGACACGGGCCCCATGATCCCCTATTGCCCGGGGGCCCCATGAGTTGTCAGTCCGCCCCTGCTTACGATGACAGCGTTAGATTTCCTTTTCCAATATTTAGGTTTACATCTATTTTCTTTCCAGGTCACCAGGCAAGTTGCACAGTGCAAATGTGCAAAGAGATTCCAGGTGGAGCAGATTGGAGAGAATAAATACAGAGTGAGTATGCTCTTATTTACTTGTTTCAGTTATTTGTTCTTTCGCAGCTTTTCTGGAAGAACATTCACACAAGAAGCAACACTATTAGGATTATCAGAGCTAATACTGCTAGCACAGAGGAAGCCCATTCTGAACCAAGACAGTCTTCAGATGATTTTCAATTGTACATCCCTGCTTTGGTATCAAAATAAATGTGTGTAAATAATTCCATTAGTTAGTATGTGTTATCTGTTTAATTATCCATTTGCCTTTTCACTCTTCTGAAGAAAGAAGCTGGTAGCTTGTTCCAAAATGACTCGCAGATTTAATCAAAAGTCAGAAAAGCCTGCACTATATGACTAAGAATTTGTGGTTAACTGACCATCACACCTACCTATTGAGCCAAATTTATATTGCCACCCCTTTGGCTGCAAGGACAATTCCCACAAACACATTCCAATCTTGTGGAAAGTCCTCTGAGATCAGTGGAAGCTATTATAGCTGCAAGGCTGGGGGCATATTAATGGCTATAGTTTAGGTTTGCGGGAAGGAGGTGAGATCGGTCCATATTAAGGCTCATAGTTTAAGAATTGGATGTTCAACAAGCTTATTTAGAAATGTTACGATTGTTGGCTATATAGTATGTGCGTATGGCTTTGTGCACACAGCCCCAATGGCCGTATATCATAGACTGTCTACGGCTGGGGAGGCACATACATCCCTGTATGCATATAACTAGTCAAATTTTTGTATATACACGTGCAGCCGCCTGCCAGTTGTTTGTGCAGATTGATTAGCAGATGCTGTACACAGCACCTTACAACTCCCTGGAGAGAAAATACAGCCATATTTTATGCCATATGGCCCTTTGTACCAATGTGCATGAACACTATATGTGTGCATGTATATACTGTATATCTGTGTTTATATATACAGCGGGTAAAATAAGTATTAAACACGTTACCATAGTTCTGGCTAAATATATTTCTAAAATTGCTACTGATATAAAATTTTAATCATGTCGGTAACAACCCATGCAATCCATACATACAAAGAAACCAAAACAAATAAGATAAAAAATTAAGTTATATGTGATAAAATAGAATGACACAGGAAAAAGTATTGAACACCTGAAGAAAGGGAGGTGTAAAAAGGCATGGAAAGCCAAGACATCAGCTGAAATTTATCAGTAAATAGAAAGCAATCCCTTGTCAGTGCAAATTAATAGCAGGTTTAGTCTCAATTGATGGCCTTTGAAAAGGTGTTTCATTACCAAAGTGTCACAAGAAACATCTCATGATTGGTAAAAGTAAAGCGATCTCTCAAGACCTTCACAACCTTACATACTGATGCATTGGTTACAGAAAGATTTCTAAACTTCTGAATGTTACGGTAAGCACTGTTGGGGCCATAATCCAGAAGTGAAAAGAACATAATTTCACCATAAACTGGCCACGACCAGATGTTCCTCCCAAGATTTCTGACAGGAGTAAAAAGAATTATCAGAAGAGTTGTCAAAGAGCCAAGGACCACCTGTGGAGAGCTTCAGAAAGACCTGCAATTAGCAGGTACAATTGTTTCAAAGAAAACAATAAGTAATGCACTCAACAGTCATGGCTTATATGCACACTTACGAAGCAAGGCTCCATTGCTGAAGCAAAAGCATGTTGATGCTCGTTTAAAGTTTTCTGCACAACATTTAGACAAGCGTGTAAAATACTGGGAGAATATAGTCTGGTCAGATGAGACCAAAATTAAACTCTTTGTATGCCATAATACACACCATGTTTGGAGGTCAAATGGCACTGCACATCACCCAAAAAACACCATACCAACAGTGAAGTCTGGAGGTGGGAACATCATGGTGTAGAGCTGTTTGTTTTTCAGCATACGGTACTGGCAGACTTCATGTTCGTGAAGGAAGGATGAATGGAAAAATGTACCAAGACATTCTTGATAAAAATCTGCTGCCATCTACTGGGATGATGAAGATGAAATGAGGGTGGACATTTCAGCAAGACAATGATTTCTAACGCAAAGCCAAGGAAACTCGCAGTTTGTTCCATAGAAAGAAAATAAAGCTGCTAGAATGGCTTAGCCAATCACCTGACTTGTATCCAATTGAAAATCTATAGAACTAAAGATCAGAAAACATTCAAGATTTGAAGATTGTGTGAAAGAATGGGCCAAAATCACACCTGAGCAATACATGTGACTAGTTTCTCCATACAGGAGGCATCTTGAAACAGTCATTACCAACAAAGGATTTTGTACAAAGTATTTAATAGATTTCAGTTAGCGTGTTCAATACTTTGTTGTTAACAACGTGGTGAAAATTTCATGTCAATAGTACCTATAGGCTCTATGCACACTAGTGGTTTTTTAAGCGCCTAGAAGCTGTTATCAGCATTTTTGTTTTCTGCTTCTAGCAGCTAAATAGTGTTATCCTATGTGTTCATGCACACTACTTTAGGCTATTAGCATTTTTTGAGCTTCAGCATCTAGGAGCAGAAAAAAAATTGTTTTTGTAGAGTTTTTTGAAGCTCCTAAACGCTGCTAAATGCTCCTAACAGCTTTTTTTCTTGCTTTTTTTTTTACATGTACTGTAAGAACAAAACAAAAAATGCTAACGCTACTAAAAATAGCTATTACCAGCATTTTTCCAGCTTAAAAAAACACTAGTGTGCATGGAGCCTTAGAAATATATTTATTAAGAAAAATAGTGCTGTGTTGAATACTTAATTTACCCACTGTGTGTGTATATATATATATATATATATATATTAAGAGAGAGGATGTTATAGGTATCCTCATGTCTTACAAACTGCGAATATTGCCCCAAAGCTTCCAAATACATCAAAACTTGTAGTAGAAAATTACAGCTATAGAAAAAAAAGGTTATTAAAGCAGAACATTACCCTAAAGGGGAAATTCTTCTTTTGGAACCTTTCTTTGGGGGGGATTGCAGATACCTGGTTTTGACAGGTACCAGCTCCCACTGCCAGTCAGATCGCCTAGGCTGCTGACTTGTAATTTTTTTTTTTAAACGGTGAAGAACCGTTGATATGATATGATATCATATATCAACGGTTCTGAAATATGATTTATAAATATATGAATGTAAAATATGAATATAAATATGATTTGTGGCTTTGGGGCACTATAGACACTTTTCAAAAAGATAACTAAAGCCCTTGCTGTTATACATACGTTTTGTACAAGGCATAGTTTTACTGGAAAAAAATTCTTGAAAGCCAAATGCTTTTTGTCCTTTTGTAGTCCACTGTGTCCAGTTGTTTATACATTTGTTACACTAATATGCTGTTATTTGTGTGCAATTGCGGTTTCTATGAAACTAAAAGTTTTCTTTCTTTCTCCTTGTGCTCTTTCATGTAGTTCTTCCTAGGCAACCAGGTACAGTGCATTCTACTGCTGCCTCTCGCTTCCCAAATAATCACATGCTGTGTACTAAATTAATTCCTTTCCATCTTTTGCCGTGATAAACTGAAAGTCATTCAATCACTGTAGATTAATTGATGCTGTTTAAGAGCTGTGTACAGATCTTTCTCTCACACTAATAACAAACCCACAAAACTAAATGTGGATGTTCCATACACTGTGAAATGATCTGCATGTCAGACAAAACAGTGAATTTGATTCTCCAAGGTACAAATTAAAATATTCGGATATCATTTGTGGTGATCATTGCAGCTGATGGCTGATTGGCAGCTACCTGTGAGCTAAACTTTTAAATAATTTGCAAATGTGACCAGCTATCATTAAAGTGATTTTTAAATAATGTAAACTTACCTTCTGGTAAAGTAAATTTACGTATAGATATTAGACCCTGGTCACCAATAATATGTAAAATTTTGAATTGCAGAGCACACATTTGTATGCATCAATGTGAATCTAGATCATTTGGTGGCTCTTTTTGCTTGTTGATGCCCAGCCATTTTCACCTTTTTGTTTTCCTTGATTTAGCTCTACTAGTTTGGAGATCTTACAGGGTCCCATTAGCCTGACAGCTGCAAAAGCATGTAACCAATAATTTTACCATGATTTAGTTTTGGGGCTGAATTATTCCTCCAAAGCACAGTCAAAGTGGATGCTAATCTCCATTTTCATAACTAATTTTACAGTCTGGATTCAAGAGATGTGGATGGGTACATTCACACCCTTGCAGATTAGAGGAGTAAGAAAAGTGTCACCTGAAAGTACAGTGCTCATTGTCACATAGTTGATGCTGCTTCTCCAGATCTGCTCAGTTCTAGCATAGTAATATGTGCCTGTGCACGCATAGATCTACATTATGCACATATTGAATACATATATAATAATTTATATATGTCTAAACTGGTGTATGGGTAACATAGTTTTACTTAATAAAAAACCTATCATGTGAGAAATAAAGGAGCTGTCATTGCTGATTTCCTGATTTAAGTGGTCAAAGTAACTGCATGTCTGTTGCAGGTATGCCACTTAGACTCAGAGCTGTTGGATTAGCTTGACAGCCAGGATGAAGGCCAAGAAGTCATCAATGGCATCATGTTTCTTTCATGACAGTTTTTTTTTTTTTTACGAATTTTATGAACTCCTCTATGTCAGTAACCATCTAACCTGGTTTCACAGTTTGGAGATTCGCAGCAGTTGCGTTTGGTTCGTATATTGCGCAGCACAGTGATGGTCAGAGTTGGTGGAGGCTGGATGGCTCTAGATGAATTTTTGGTGAAGAATGATCCTTGCCGAGGTGAGAATTTCTTCAATGGAATAATGTTCTTCTTAGCTAAGCAATATAACTCAAAGCAGCATTGATCGAGGTGATCCAATGATCTACGTAGTCATTAATATTATTTTCTGTTGAAAGTGGACCCCTACAAACTATTAATCACTGTGGGTTAATATAGCCTAAAATAAGTATAAGTGTGAAAGTAAAAATCATGTAATTTAAACATGTTTACTACAAGTTGCTTTGGGGAATTAAGATATTCCTATGCAGACTTTTCTACTTTGGCAAAAAGTCAAAACCTGCACCTTACACCCCTCACATGACAGTTCTTAAGCCTGGCCATTGGCCTTCCAGGCACGCAGGGTTGCTTTATAGGAGGCTGAACACATTGCCTCATACCTCCTTGCATAAATCCGTTCATTTACACAGGCAAAATTTATTCTCTAGTAATGAAAAGAATGGAATCACAGTAAATTCAAAGCATTTGTCTAGATAAAAAAAAACACAACATATTTCTTTCTCGTCCAAAGAGGGACACAGGACTTTTCACCTTTTGGCTTTTTTATTGCTCACAGGAGAATTAGACACTGAGAAGCAAAAACCGTAGTCCACCCCAGGATAAGCCTTCCTACTACTAGCATACCTCAGCATTATATTTAAACGTCCTAGGAGAATAGATGACTTTTCTTCAGCTCTGCTATGTTAAAGGCTAACCTATTTTTGCTAGCACCTTTTTTTTTTCTTCCTCTTCAACATTTTCTTCAATCAAGACTCGTTCCTATACTGCTGCTAGTGCTGGTCTCTCTGATTGAAAGCATCCAGTGTGGTTGACCTCAGCCTGGTTTTTGGAGTGCTGTGCCCGGACCCTTCTGGACTAGACATTGCGGATAAAGCCTGGAAATGATATTCGGGCACTAGACTCTGCGTTGGGCGCTTTCCATACACCAGGTGAAAAAAAACAAACAATGGATCGCTTTTTCAGGTCAAGAGGCAATGGTGTTGTTTCAGCTCTAGCCCTGTCTCTGAAAACTTGTGAGTGGGCCTGAGCACTGGGAGCTACATTAAGTACATCGATTGCTGGGCACCAAAAAATTAAAAAAACTCAGATTCCTGTTCGTTTCTGCCATGGAAGAGTTTCTACCATGGAACACTGTGAGATCAACTCTCCACTCATGCAGCATCAAAGAAACATATTTCTGTTGCTGCTCATGCTTTGCAAAAAGCCATGTGGAACTTCGATTTTCAGTCAGTTCCCACTGCCCACTTACAGTGACTTTGATTACCGACAACCAGCTGGCTCCTGATCTGCTACCAGTTGTCTCGGTTTTGTGAATACCTGAGGCTTTGCCTCGTACTGAGAGACCTTATTTTGCTATACAGCCATATGGTTGCAATATGTCTAATTCTGAACACAGGGCAGAATCTGCTTCTAGAGTCTTATCCCATCTTTGGAGTTCTTTGCTCTGTTTGGTGTGGCTGGTTCCTCTGCCCCCTAGGCTTTGGTTTTTACTACAGTCATGCAAGTCTTAAATGGCCCGAATCACAAAGTTTTTTTTGCTGACTTTTTTCGAGGGCACAAGAGCATAGAAGCCTAAGGAACTAACTGCAAAGTCCTCGCCTTCTCTATTGGCTAAGAAATTGTCCCTTTTATCTCTCCACTCCTGCACCATCCACGTCCAGCCCCCTGAAGCTTGTTCCCCAGTCCACCTGCAAGGTCTAGGGCTCAAAGTCCAACAAATCTTCAGACAATTCTTCCTCAGCTTGAAGGTGTGCCCCCCACTTTCCAGAATGGGGGAATGTTCGTTAACCTTTCTAGACACCTGGACTGCGTGCATCTCGGACACCTGGGTGCATAAAGTGGTATCCAAACGCTACTAGCTGAAGTTTGGTCCCAGCCCCCTTCCATGGTTTCTTACCTCCAACCTTCCTGTGTCACCCCACAGATTATCAGATCTCCACTATGCGACCTTGCGTTTTCTGAATCAAGGTGCCATTGTCTTCTTTCCAGCATATCTGCATTTGCTATGTTTCGCTATGGGTCCCCTACACTATAGTTTCATGGCCCTGCCCTTTGGCCTCTTGTCCAAAGCTCAGGTGTTCATTGTGCCCATTGTGGCATATTTAGACAACCTCCTATTGAAGGAATAGTCAGCTCAGACTCTGTCAGACAACATGGCTTTGACTGTCCAGAGATTACAGTGTTACAGATGTGTCCTGAACTGTCTCATGTAATGTATTTAAATTGAGTTTGCTCTGTGCTTCAGAAACCATTAGAAGCCATCAGAGCTATTCCTCTCTCTACTACATCCCACAAGTTGGTATTCCTTGTTGCCATCACCTCTACAAGGCGACTATCTAAGCTCATTGCCTGTCCTGCAATTAACCCCTTCTGGTTTTCCTTTAGAACATGATAGTATTAAGGCCTAGGTTTTCATCTTTCCAAAGGTAGTTTCTGCCTTTCTGCCAAATCAGGACATCACTTTTCATTCTTCTGTTCACTTCCTGTTTACCCAAAGGACATTTCCCTCCATTATTTGAAAGCAGTTCTGACTGTGAGAGTGTCTCTCTCAGCTGCTTCTAATTTCAGGATGTCTTTGTATCTTTTCGGCTTCTTGTTCCACTGTCTAGGTGGCACAGGCAAACCATCATCCAAGCTTATTTTTTCAAGGATTGGGTGCCACCCTCTCCTGTCAAAGTGCTACTATATCTGTAAGTGCTTTTTGGTATCAAACAACTGTTTTGCTTAATTGCTAGGCTTCGGACCTACGGTCCTGTGTTGTCCACCCCCAGTTGGACTTCTGGTAGTAGGAGGGTGTTATCCTGTTTTTTTGTTTTTATTTTATTAACCAGTGTCCAATCCTCCTGTAGGCAGTAATATATTCTGAAGGTGAGAGATTCCAGTGGCCCCCAATGGACTCCAAGAAAATTATTTTACAGTTAGTACACAAATCCTATATCCCTACAGCAATACATGCACATTTCCTCATATTTTATGTCTTTTAAACATACTGCAAGTTCGGAAGAATAACTGTCGATGTGTCAGAAATATAGTGTGCTCTTGCATTCCTCTTTGTTATGACAGCACAGAGGTTGATTTACTAAATCTGGAAAGTGCAACATCTGGTGCAGCTGTGCCTGGTAGCCAATCCACTTCCAATCTCAGCTTGTTCAATTAAGCTTCTACAAAAAAAAAAAACCTGGAAGCTGTTTGGTTTCTATGCAAAACTGCATCAGCTTTTGCACTCTCCAGTTTTAGTAAAAGCCGCAGTTTTAATGATACCCCAGTGTATTTTGTGCTATGAATTCAAAGGAACACGTCATTTTGATTTCTGATGTATTGCATTTTCATATTTAATTTCTGATGTATTGCAAAAAAACGCAGACATCTTCTCATTTCCCTTCTCACTGCCTTAACACCACCTTGTGCACAAGTAGAGAGCACAGGATGTTATCCGCTCACAAGATTTTTGGCAGAAGCAACAGGTTTTTTTTTCTTAACAGTTTTGGTGAGAAAGCTAGGAAGAGAACTAAAATACATACTAATGTGTACTCTAGAAAACTTAGTACTAACTAACAAAATAAAAACAGAAACCGCTACCACTGATTTGGGTTTGTCCCCAGAAAATTAATAGAGGAGAAATCTCCCAATGGGGACACTACTTCTGGTGACCTGGGGGTCCCCAAG